CGGTCCGTCAGCACAGCCCCGAGGGAACGGTCCCGGTGCTGCCGCGGCGCGCACCGCAGGCTGTGGGGAAGGGGAGCGGGCGGCTGAGGCGCCCTCAGCCTCGGGAGCTGCCGGCTCCTTTCAGCTCCGCTGCTGTCGGTGCAAGGAACGGTTCTCAGTCCTAAAGTTGTCTCTTCTTCGCGTGAGCGCGTTGCATAACTTTGAGTAACCCATAAAAGAAACGAAAAGCTGAGCAAAACGCCCAGATGTTTTCCACTTTGGATAGTGCAACACGTTCCTCACCCCAGTCACATGTAAGGCTGGCTGGAACAGCCTCAGTAACAAAACGTGCTCTGGGAGAAGAGCTCATCTTGTAACTGAAAGAAAAAGAACAAACAAACAAGAAAGAGTGCAATTTCAAAATGTTAGGAGAAAGGTGTTACTGCTGCTACAGTGGTGCTGCCGTGTTTCTGTCAAATTCAAAGTCTTGCTGTTTTCATAAAACTGATGAAAAAGTGGAGAGTGGTTTCATTATGTCAAATTTCAAGCAGTCATTTGACATCACTGTTACTGTGCAGTGGTATAATGCCACCTTACACCACATTTCTTACTCTGTGTCCTTCTATTTGCAATATTGAAATAGTTGAGTCTTGGTAAACAAAATTGCTATTTTTTAAAGTAATTTATTACTCTTAAGGGCAAAATCAACTGGAAAGGGTGTTCAGCATAAGGAAACAATCATTAAGTAACTGGTTGCAAACTAGGTTTGAAAATGTTTCTAGTGTAAGCTGCAAGAATCTTGGCAGCTGGTTTTAAGCAAGTGCAAGCTGGATCCCAAATGGTGCTGTACTGTTTGTAGCCTCCAAGCCGGGTGTGCTTCCCCCTCCTGCAGCTGCCACAGGGGTTCCTGCCTGTCCACCCCTTACTGCGCTGAGCAGGAGACCCAAGGGACTCGGTGGCAAAGCTCTCTTGTGCTCATTCAGACTGAGAGCTGATGAGGACACTCCTTGCCAAAGCTCATGTTTTGGATGCTGTCAAAAAAGAATTTGAATGAGAACAACTCATGTTTGCAGACCATAAAATGGCCATCAGAGCCCACTACTCTTCTGGAAGTAGCAGCTGGATAACAGTAAACACAATTGCCCTGGCATGCTCCTACCCCCGATCCCTGTCTTTACAGTCAGGAGCTCAAGGTCCCTTTTTTCAGAAATATGTTAATCTTTAGGCTTGGAAAATTTTGTAGCTACTGAAAATAATAACTGAATATAGATGTCTTATGTATGTCTACCAGACAGCAGCAAACGTTTCCTTCTCTGGTCGTGGGAGCCAGTGATCCTGCCCATCAGTGGGAAGCAGTGAGTGGCAGGAGGTAGGTGCTGCCAGTCAGAGCAGCACGGGTGGATATGGCCCTGTGGGTACATACAGAGGTGGTCAGTGTATCTGAATTCTGGGGTGGACTTGGCTCTTCTTCTGTGGCCTCAGTCAGGTTCACAAAAACACGTGTGAGAGTCCATTGAAATCTGTGGTTTTGTGATTTCTCAAAGGAGTCTGCGTTCCTGGACTGGGACTGAGCCCAGCACATTCTCATAGCATCTGGTTTTCTTCAGATAAAATGGGGAGAGAGAGGAAGCCTCACCGTGTTTGTTTAGCATTACCACCTCTCCTAACCTTGCCTTCCTCGAATGGCCATTGGACATTGACCTACAGCAGTTAAAAGACTATTTGTAGAGATCGTTTTTCAGCCTTGTAGCTGAAACGAGTCTAGATAAAACAGTATGCAACAATACACTAGCACAGCATTACAGTAAAAAAAACAAACTGAGAGAAGAAACCTGGGAAATAGCTTGGACTGTGCACTCTACAGAGCCTCAGATGGAGAATGCAATTTAAATTAGCTCTGCAGAATGAGGTCCAGTCCAAATATTTGAACACTTTCTATGAATCTGGTAGAGACAGCTCCCTTGTCACTGGCAACCTTCCAGCATTTCTGTCACAGCAGTGCCTCTCCTTAACAGCCTTGTCCAGTCTGTGTGGAAAAAGCCTGTGTTTAAAAAATAACATCAAAACAACCAAACAAGCCTGATGGTAAGTGGGGAAGGCTGGTTCAGTTTTTGAGTATGTGAATCCAGAAGTATAGTCTGGATTGTTTAATTAGAGAAGGGACAGTAGAGAACCTAGGTTGCTCTTCAGCTTCCATTTATAGAATCACTGACAGCAAATAGTGACATTTTTAACTTCCTAGTGCCAAAAATCAGGGCTTTGAGGTAGTACTTTGCATCTTAATTGACTCGGTCTAGGCAAAGCCAATAATTTTGCAGAGCAGACCTATTAATCACAATGAATGTTTGTTAAATTTTAGTGTAGATGTTCACAGACTGAGAACACTTCGGCACAATCTTAGACTTACTGGCATTTTGAAAGGTAGTTTGTGATTATTTGTGAAAACACTGTGTCCAAGGCATGATTTTTTCCAAAGGAAATTCTGAAAGCTGGGTAAGCAATGCACCTTCTGAAAGGCCTTTCAAAATGCCTGTGCCCTTTTGGGGGAAGGATGGCAGCTGGGGGGCTACAGCAGAGTTCAGCTGGGTGTCTCCAAGCAGAGCCTTCTCCTCCTTCGTTTTGCCTTTAAGAAAGCCTGTGCTGCAAATTAAGTGCATATGAGGCTTGTAGGTGAGCTCAGGCTGACACGAAGCCAGCCTTTAACTGGGCCTTTGTGTTTTATTTTGCCAGTTGCTTTTCTCATGACCAGGGGCTATTTTTAGTTTCTCCTAAGGGGGGGAAAAAAATCTCCCTTGTGTTTTTAACAGTTTGTATACTGTTACTAGCCTTTGTTTTTCTATCTGAATCTGACATTTTCTGAAGTGTTATGCAACAGATTGTCTCACCTGAATGCGTTGTTACTTATTTTGTTGACATGAAACATCTAAAACCATTTTTCCTGTTGCAGGCACTTGGCTTCTTGTGGTATTCTGATGAGCAGAATTTCTCCTTCACAAGTACCTGTAACGAGCCATACCTTGACAAGAACTTTCTTCAACATTGCTGCACCACTAGTAAATAAAAGAAAAGAATATTCTGAAAGAAGAATTATAGGGTTTGTATAGACACGTGGGGTCTTTACGTGCCTATCAGTTTTGTGTCTGCTGTGATTAATCTGAAATACCAGAAGTTCAAATACTGAGCATCCCTGGAGACACGCCCTTGTGGCTTTGCCCAATTGGACACTAGGAAGTTTTGACTCTCAGAATTTGTAGGTATCAGGCTTTTCCAGTCTGAAATTGAGTATATATATATAAAAAAAAAAAAAAGTAGGAACCTAAAGCCCTTGCCCCATAAAAAGAAATAGCAGAAATAATCCTTCTATTCCCTGACAAAGCAAAAACAACCCTGAAAGGGAAGAATACACTATTAATTTCATCTGGTGAAATGGGAATAAACCAACAGATGTGAAAACTCCTAGTTTGTTCCCTTCCATCCCAAATACATGCTAATGTTTGCACTTACACTGTGCTGTACTTACCGCCTCTCAAAATCTCCTTTCTTTAAAAGAAGGAACTTCATTAGTTGTGTGATGAAGAAACTTGAGCACATAGAAAAACAGTTTGAAATCCTGTTTGCCTGAAAGCTAATGGGAAAATTCCAGTTAATTTGACAAGACTGGGATCTGCCCCCAGTTTCTGGTCCAGCACAGTATATGAACTATTTGCTTACTAGGATAATTTTTTTGACCATGCTTAACACTCCGTTATGTGATGGTTCTCAAACTGCAACAGATTTTGCATAGTCACTTCAAAAGAGCCTTTGCCCAGTGGTTCTCACTGTTGAACATACACTTCACTTTAAACCCAGGTGGAATTGAACGTGAGCTTTGATTCTGAGTCAAAACTAAAACCTGAAAGCCATGGCTATGTAATACTTTGCCATGTTACCACAGAATTGACTGAACTGTTGCCATCATATTCCTCCATATGATTTCAACACCCTGCTTGAGCAGGGGGGCTATACAAGATGACCTCACCCATTCTGGGATGTTGGGAGGTTTCTACCAGTTCATTGGGTTTGTTTCTCCTTTTAATTTCCAACACCAGTGGTAGCATTTTCTGGTGACTGTATGTTCACCTTCCAAACTGCCATTTATCCCATCTTTGAAACTTTTAAATAGTGGATTTGAAGTTAAAATACCTTGCAAGTAATGTTCATGTTTCTGTTTCCAGATATTCTATGCAGGAGATGTATGAGGTTGTTGCTGTGGTGGAGAATTACAAACTGTTTGTTCCTTGGTGTAAGAAGTCAGATATATTATCGAAGCGCTCTGGATACTGCAAAGCACAGCTAGAAATAGGATTCCCTCCTGTGCTGGAGAGGTACACCTCAGTTGTTACCCTAGTGAGACCACATTTAGTTAAGGTAAGCATTTTCTGCTCAGTTGTAACTTTCTGTAACTCTTGTTTGTTGAAATTCAAATAGTTCACTGGCACTTTGAAACAAAACTGATGCTGTGTGTGGCTCAGAACTTGTGTTGCTTTTATTTAACGACTTAGGTTAACTGGAGAGAATTTGAATGTGCTTTTAAATCAAGCTGTCAAGTAGAGGGGAGGAATTGCACTTTCATTTGCTTTTGCTGAAGAAACTAGCAGCCATTAATGAAGATACATCATTTTTGTTTGGTTTTGGTAGAATTTTGTCCAAACCTCTCTGAATGCAAAATTAATACTGACTTAAGTGATCTTTGACAGCTGTAGCTTCTGATGCCTTCACAAAATTGCTATCTGTTGTTACTCTTCTTCTGACAACTTTACCTAGTTAAAATGAGAAGTCTTAAGCATAGGATCTGCTGAAGAACTTGTTATTCATTGTTTTGATGAGAAGATAAGAGTGCATTTAAAGTTCATTTTTTAGAATTAATTTGTTCAGAAGAGAAGCACTTGTAGTCCTTCTTTCAGCTTCTTAAGTGCAAGAACTGAAAATGTCAAGAGAGAGATTGTAAATGATGTCTGGATTTCTTACTAGTTTGCCTTCCATGTTCCAATCTGTTTTGGTTAGGAACAGCTCAGAACAGAGCCCTTACACAAAATTGCTTCTCACTTCATGTAGTAGATCTTGACTATTTTTTGAACTAGTGGAATTACAACAGTTGATTGCTGTTCAAGACAATGGTTTGGAAATCCTATTTTCTAGGCTTCCTCTTAAGAGACCCTGCTCAAAACAGAAACTGGGTTGCTTAAATAGAGGGAAGATATGAATTGGAAAGTGAATATGCAAAGTGCCTTTATTCAAAGGACTTAGTGATTCTGGAAGGAGAAAGAATAAATCTGTCTCCATTATTAGGAAAGTTGACCAGCTCCAATGGAAAATCTGCATTTTAGATGCCAACTGCTTTCCTTTTCCACTCTTCCATGACAGGAATGGCTCTTTCCTTTCACATAGCTACCAGATGGGCTTATCAACTCTTTTTCCCTGTTTCACTGCAAAGAGTGTTTCTTGTCTCAGAAAAGACCATGAAAAGCAGTGAGGAGAACAGTTTATTTAGATTTTTTTTTCTCCTGGACAGCATTTTCTCTGCTGGGATTTTTTTCCTAGAAGTTTACATTCTGTTCATCTAACTTGTAGGCACTTTTCTAGAGAAGCAACTGTGTTTAGACTATATCACTATCCTCAGAAATAACTCTGGGCAGGAGCAGCTTGCATGGTGGTTGAGCATAGCAGGCTCCTGGTGGTGACAAAATGAGCACAGGTTTTTTTAGTAAAACTAAAAAGTTACAGAGATTATCTCTAGATGATGTTGAAGAGTAAGTCTTTCAATCTTTTTCTATTATAAATATAACCATACAAGATTAGTTACATGTGCTAAAAGCAAAATGCATGAAAATAAGGACCCTACTGTCATGAAAACCATGGAGCCAACTGCTGCAAGTATTATTTTAAGGGAGTATTTTATGCAAGCACTCCTGGAGCATTAGTTAAATCTGGCTTGCCAGTAACTAAAAGCCAATATCTAAGCTGATTATGAACTTGGGTCTATAGTCTGACTTCGTGGTAGTTCTTGATCACAACAGTATCTTGTGACAGATGTTTGGATTTTGACTCCCATCACATTTGTTTTGATGCCAAGCATTGCTGTAGCCCCAGACTACCAGTCTATGTGTGTATCAGTATACAAAATATCCTACAGCTGTAATTAAATATATATGTATAGACACACACAAACAGTACATATCCATATTGGTTCCTTAAAGCAGTGTTAGTCAAAGTTCTGGTAGCATTATTATATACATATGTAGATAACATTAGCATTATTTTGGTGTTCTATGCATCATGCTAAAGATCTGTGTCGTGACTCTTGTAGCTTGACTTTTTAAACTTCCTTTTAGGCATCCTGCACAGATGGAAAACTGTTTAACCACTTGGAAACAGTGTGGCGCTTCAGCCCCGGCGTGCCCGGCTACCCACGGACATGCACGCTGGACTTTTCAGTAAGTGTTGCAGTTAGGAGCACCATATGCTAGGAAAAGGGCATAGAAACAGTATCTTAACTGTGCTGCTTTTTTTAAAAAAAAAAAATTCTTACCAGGCATTAAAACAAACACACAGAAAATTTATTTTTAGTCACTACTATCCAAAAAAAAAAATTTTTTACAAATTCTAAATGTAGTTTGCTGTTTCCTTCAATTACTCTACAATCTAAGTGCTCTTGGTACTCAGAGTAGATATTCTCCCATATGTCCTGTTTGGCCTGTAGCTTGGTCAACTCAGTTTTCCAGCTTCCAGTTCTACTCTTTCATATATTCTAAGTGTTACTCCTTCCTTCTGTAATACAGGTGTAATAGATCTTTGTTGTCTTTCTGCTCAATGATGGGGCATCACTGTGGCTCAGGTCTATTGCTCTTTGATTTGGCCTGTTACTCCTAGAAAACTTATTTCCCACTGAAGTTACTGATTTTTCCATTATTGTCTATTTATTCTGTCACCACATTTTTTTTCTTATGCTTTTTTAGCATTAAGAGTTGGTTTTGCATTGAGCACATAATTCACTTGGAGTTCAGAACTGGCTACAAAAGTACACAGACAGGGGTTGGTCCCGCTGCCATCTACTGGGATACTCTGCTTTAAACATTATCTTCTGTAAATGGGAAAAAAAGCTTTTGGAGCATTTCTAAACTAGCACGTTAATCTCCTTGGGTTAGTGACTTTCAGCTTATTCCTGTATTGCACTTCATACAGTTCAACAGTAAAATTCAATCTATAGGCACTCAAAAAATACATTTCTCATGGGATTTCCCAACAATGTCTACATGTTATTTGCTCATGGTATTTGAACTTCTCCAATACATAAACTAGCTTTGAACCCAAGCCATAAATCAGTGGAGAAAACTCAAATTAAGCAAGTGTTTAAACCCTGATCCGTATCCTGAGTCAGTGAGGAAAACTCCTCACACACACAAAAGCCACCTTTTGACACTTCAGGTCAGTAATTTCACTTAAAGGGAGTCAAAACTGGACTTAAACCAGGTATTTTCACTTTCTTGGGGAAATGCTCTTGATGGTTCTTACTGCTCTTGTCGTTTTGAGGCAGCAGAAGGCAGTGTAGCCAGCTGAGCAGGGGCTTGCCTCAAAGGCAGGTCCTTAAGGACTCTCACCCTTGCTAGTCAGGGACCTGCTGCGTTCAGCCAGGGGCTGAGCACTGCACAGCACCCTCCTCAAAGCACACTCTGCACTTACAGGTATTTGTGACAAAGCTTCAGTTTCAGGAATGCTCGTTGGCTTTTGAGGACTCTGCAGAACTCTACACCCTCTCTAAACGCAGGCACGTTAATTTTACTGATGCTTGAGGTGAAGCAAATGTAAATGAAGCTACACCAGGCTTACAGCTTAAGTAGTTTAATTAATTACTTGTGTGCTGCTGTTTCCAGGTAACACACACCACTCCTAAACAACTCCAGAGGAGCTGCATTTGCTCCATTTGGCATTTAATCTGCCAGCTTCTCAGGAATGACAAAACCACTTTCATCTCAATCCAAAAGGCATGCTATTGCAGGAGTGATAAAAAACACACAGGAACAGCCTGCTTCTTCTCCTGAAACCTCTGCTACCTCTTGGGAAGCTGTGTGTTCCAAAACAGTGCCATCCCATAGCCTTGGGGGAACGTTATTTAACTGCACGGAAGGCCAGCACAGCACCAAAGCACAACTGAAGGCTATCTGGCATAAAAGTGACCCTGTCTTTTGAGGGTGAAGAGAGAAAGGGAACTCCCTTTGTTAGCTGCTGCAGGAGCTTCAGTTTAACTGCAAGATGCCCGTAGCTAAAAGAAAATGAGGAGGTTAAGTTCAGAGCACTGCAGCAGGAGGCTGGAGGGCAGGGTGCAGAGAACTTCACCAGTATATCTGTACTCTGAAACTGGCTGCCCAGATCAGGACAGCGAAGGTCGGGAGCAGGGGGTGTCCAGGTAGGACACACAGCAGACAAAACCAAAACTGCAGCTTGAGTCAGTAAAATGCCCTTGTCTGAGTGTCCTGTAACTACAGCTACCAAGACAGAAAGACTGATTTAAAATGTTGATATTTAATATGTAGCTATTTTGAGCTGCTTTTAAATGCCACTTGGGTTTGCTCCAGCTTTTGCTCCAGCTTACCTGTACGTCCGCTGTCTTGCCACCCAGATTTTGCCAGATTTTCTTCAGCCAGCTTTTGTCCTCCAAGTGATTTCTGTGCACAAAGCAACCAAGTTATTGTTTGTTAGTAGGTTTGCATTATCCTAGATCTTTTACTTAAGTTTTGTGATGCATCATTTATTAAGTAAAATTCTGTTCAGATAAATGGAAATGATTACTTCAAAGAACTGAAAGACACGATTCTTATAATTGAAAAGGCCAGAGAGTCCTCTGACCAAGGAATAAGGATTTTCTTCACTCACCTGTAGCTCAGTTTTAGCTGTTCTTTCTCCCACAGCTTACTTGCAGACTAACTGGAGATTCTTTAATGAAGTTGTCCATCTGTAACAGCATTTTACCACATCAGTATGTACAGGAAAAACAGTTCTTCTCTATTTTCCTAAACAGGTTTCTTTTGAGTTTCGCTCACTTCTACACTCAAAACTGGCTACGTTATTTTTTGATGAGGTGGTGAAGCAGATGGTAGCTGCCTTTGAAAGAAGAGCATCCAAACTCCATGGCCCAGAGACAAGCATACCTCGGGAGCTGATGTTCCACGAAATTCACCAGACGTAAAAGGGAAAGCTGTAACAGCCTCCCTTGTAAACTTGTTTGTACACCTCATTTGTACAGGAGGTGCCACGTTCCTCCTCTGGGGCATCTATTCCATACCTGAGCTTTAGTGGGGGTTTTATACTGTACAGAACACACCCCTTCAGCCAGATGTACAGAGAATGTTTGAGCTGCAATCAAGTGCAACTTAAAGGTGTTATTGTTAACAGCCAACGGGCAGCTACTGTAACACAAGAGATCTCAGGCTGCTATTTAGTGACTTGCCAAAGGGTTTGTGTAATCACAGCCTAGGTTCTGTCTTATCCAAGCTTATGTTTTTTTCAGCATTGTACATATTAACTCAAGTTTAAATTATTAGTAGCATGAATGTAACTTAAGAGCATCAACTTGGCCATCTTGGGGCAGGCAAAGGGAAGCTGACCTGGCTTTGGGGAGCACCAAGAGTTAGTCGGGCACTGAGGAGCAGGTGCTTTTAATCCAAGTGAAGGACAAGGGGAAGTCGGGAGTCTCCAGCTGCTGCTGAATTCTGACCAGCAACTGCAAGAGAAAAAACAACACAGCCTGAACACTTGTGAGTTTTCAGATGTCAGACATAAGGGCTATTGTGATTCGAATGCAGCAGTGCCAGCTGTAGCCAGTGGTTCCTGTCTCTCCAGGCTTGGGACACTTCAGTTTATAGTACTCTGATCAGGCTGAACTTGCCTACCTGCCCCTGCCTCACTGCAGTTAGGTTATGGTAGAGCTCATTACTAGTTTTCAGTTCCAACACAACTTTAAACCACGTAAACAAGCATTACCTCTGAGAACTAGGACAGGGACATGCCATGCTCTGCACCACCGTGCCGCCCTCCCTGGGAGGAGGGAACAAGATCTCCTCCACTTCCTGCAGATCAGCACACTCAAGGCCAGCTGGCACTAAAAAACACAACAGAGCTAAACCTTAGTTCTTAGGGATTTTTCAGTATCATACGATCAGTAATTAGTCCACTATGATGGTAGGAGCTGTCTTGGTACGTTTTCGGTAGTTCTGTTCTTGACGTTAATATTCCCTTTCCAGTCTCTGAAAAAACATAAGCAGATACTTTTGAACACGTTTTAAGTCCTGTCTCTCTGTTGCCTTGCATTACCCAATTTCCTGACTGAAATTAGGTGAAGTGTCAGGGGAGGTATTGAAGTTTGCCCTCTCTCCAGAGTGCCCCTAATCCCTCTGCTTACTACAGAAGAGTGAATTAAATAGCATTAAGAAGGTATGGCTCAGGACAAAGCCCTGCAGCAGCTTCAGATCATTTACTTTGCCAGAAGGAGCAATTCAAGTCCCACACACCCTGTGAAGGTGAGTTGTTGCTGAAGCTGGAGAGGTGACAGCTGGATTAAAGGGGGTTTTGCAGCACAGAGGTGGTGTAAAGCAGTTCCGTTTGTTGAGGCAATGGGGGGTAACCCCAAGTTTGGGAACACAGTCACTTAGTTCAGAAAGCAGTGTTGAAAAGCAGGCAGAAAAGACTGCACTTACCAGTTACCAGCTGTGTCAGGTGGGAGAGCCCAGCAGGCAGCACAGCAAGCTGTCATTTTAACAGGTAGAGCAGCATCTCCAACTCAAACTAAATCCTGAGGCTTGCTACAGGAAAGCTGAAAGCCTGGAAGTCTCTAGGCAAGGAGGTAACCACTTACTACACCCGAGCAGAGAAGCATTTAGAAAGCCCACAGCCCTGTCTTTGCCAAGGTAACTTACCTGTTTCATACCCTCGAGGCACCTTCCCTCCCACAGGCCCAGATGAGATGCACGGGGCCTGTTGCAGCACAGGACACAGCATAGACAGGGCAAAATAAAGTCAGTGCACATGCCTTATTTTCATAGCATTGTTTAATATTTCAAAGAACTAGTTCAGCTTCGATATTGCTTAGCAAAATGTAGTCACTTGAGAAACATCCTAGGCAAAGGAATGTTTCCTGGAGGGAAATGCCCTGTCCTTTCCAAGCTCTCAGTGTCAGATCTGTGGTAAATGTTAGAAGCAGCAGCAGGAGGCTGTCAGGGTTCTCTGACTATGGCTTTGTGTGCAGATGAATAAGGTGATACATTTAATAACTTTGGAGCAGTTTTTTATTACATAAAGGTCACATAACTGTTTGTTTGCCTACTTGGTACACAATTGTCTAGTCTCACGCACAGTGGCTTCCAAGTTCTTCCTAGTACTGGCAAGCACCAATGATTCTGAACAGGGTATCGAGTGCCTCATGTTTAAACCGGGACCTTGGCAGATGGATCTTGCACCCAGTTATCAGGAATGTACAAATGTCTTTATTCAAAAAATACAAAATAAATTATCTGTAGGCATGGACAATGACTGTAAACAATTACACGTGTTAAATGAAATCCAGTAACTGATGGTTACAGTGATTCTTTTAAACACCAGCCTCACTTCAGTCACTATCCGCCCCCTTCCGCTGACGTCCCAAGTTTTTGAAGTCAGAACTGTCAGTCTTCCACAGCACAGCTCATGATGTGTCCCCCTCCCAGGAATTAGAACATGCCACCTCCCATCCCTCCACCCATCCCACCCATGCCTCCCATTGCTGGCTCCTTCTCTTCTTTGGGAATTTCAGTCACCACTGCTTCTGCTGTCGACAGGAGAGAGGCAACGCCCGCAGCATCCACCAGAGCAGTTCTCACAACCTAAATACAGGAAAGAAATAACTTACTACCTGCTGACTACCACATGAGGTGGGAGGAAGGAACACTGAGAATTAAGGACTATTTTAAATTACCTTCGTTGGGTCTATGATTCCTTTTTCTACCATATTTACAAAGTCCCCAAGCATTGCATCATAGCCAACTTCTGATGGACTCTGCAGGATTTTTTCAACTATTAATGATCCTTCAACACCTGCATTCTTTGCAATAGTCATTGCTGGGATTTTCAGCGTTCTCTTGATTATTTCAATGCCTGTAAGAAAAAGGATGTTCAGAATCACCTATTACATACAGTGCTCCTGCTGCCAAGGCAGGCACTCAAGTGCTGGAGATAACACAAAAAGGGAGAAGCCTCTGAGCAAAAACATAAGCTAGTTTTATCAGTTCCAGGGGAAAAACAAAGTTCTCTGCTACTTGACATTTGTCAACGAAAGAAATCACTGTGGGATATTCACACGTCTCAGGTTTACTCCTCCAAAAGGTATCAAGGAGCACTGGTTACTGTCAGACAGCATAAAGCTTTTTTCCATTTGGTTTGCCACAGTGTCTTAACAGTTCTTACGTCTGTCTGCAATGGCTCCAACAGCCAACTCGACTCTTCCCTCCCTCGTTTGCAGCTCTCAGCTGGGGGTGCTGCCCCTCGGCTGTTCCTGGTTCTTTCACACCCACGCCAGGGACCAGTGAAAGGTCCCTCCCGCTGTAAGGCGTAGGCTGCCACGCCGAGGGGACACGAGGTTCCAGAGACCCAGTAACTCCCAGCTCCCCCAGAGCCCGTACCGACGCGCTGATCCTCGTTGGCGGGCGCCAGGCCCTCGAGGGCGGGCAGGCAGCGCAGCAGGGCGCAGC